TGACACCCTGGTTCTTACTGCACCGTAGTCGAAAGAACGGAAAAGTTCCGAAACGGCTGAACAAGTGTGAAGCTCGAAGAGGGAGAAGAACGGCCGTTTACCACTCCCAATTCGGATTTCACACTTGTTCAGTCATGTCCTCTGAAATTTTCCGTTTCATAACACGTTCATCTGTGTTTTACAACGACATCGCAACGTAATTGCGAAAAGTCAGGAGGTTTTAGTAAATATCAGACAAAAACGCAAGACACGAAAGTTTTAATTGTGAACGTTTATAGTGATAACAATCCTTGATGCTTAAAAAGTTTAACATGCTCACGTTAATTTTAAAGCTATGCACTATTTAATAAACCGATTTAAGAAGGTTCTTCGACTATTTACTGTTATCAGTGTGACCCCACAAAAATTGTGCGTGCATTAAACATTACTGGAAATAAAACGACGCATTGTTGCTGAAAATAGTTTCTTAATGGATTAACAATCTTTCTTTAATCGAAATAAGTAAAAAAAAAAAACGGAATTGTTTCATAAAACCATCATTAGATTTTTGTTATTGTGCGGCTCAGATGCCTGAACTATGTCAAAACCAAATAGATTAGTTATATTCGAGAGAAAGGTCTAGGATTTAGGAAAGTTTAATAAAGGTTATAGTCTCACCTACTAGACCAGCATGGAAACAAAACACTTTTGGTGGGACGAAGTCATTCATATCTTTAATTAGTGCAGCCTTTCCTAGACTCGTCTGATTCTTTATTCCTATACAGTTTTAGCTCCCAAAACGTGTCCATCATCAGGATATCAGGAAGACTGTCAAATCAATTCTGAAAAATACAAGACACAAAAGCAGTACCTATGCACAAAACAAAAGGACAAATTAAACATTATAAACCAATAGGGTAGAATAAACGAGTATATTTAAAACCGATGATATGGATCGTGTTTTCTACACTATGGAGCGCTGCAAGCTCCCGACTGTCTATACTTCCGGGTTACTGCTTTTGGAGTGCTTTAAAGCCAGTTAGATCACAATGTGATGATCA